TTTTTTTTTTTTTGGAGGAACTGATTGACTGCTTACCCTGGTTTTTGGCATGGTTGTATTGATAATACTTGTGCAAAAATTTCAAGAATTATGTGCTACAGCTTAAAACCTAAAAATTAAAGCTGTTGCAAGATTTTAGTGGCCTGATAGAGGATTCAGCATGTACTCTGCCACATGCATGTGGGCTTCCAGGTCCTATTTAAGATGTTGGTCTTTGACTTGACTTGACTTGCATAGCTCTAAGCATACAGACAGTTGTAGTGAGATCCAAGGAGAAGGATAGAAGCCATAAGCATGCAGCTGTTACATCTGCACAAATCTGTAGCATCAGAGGTAGAGCCAAATGGCTCTAATTGGTTGGTAGGGAGAGCAGAGCTGCTGTCCGTGATGTTCTGTTGCAGCCTGTGCCCCTAGTTGTGTCACTAGGGTGAGCTGATCATCCTAGCCTGGGCATCGAGCATTTGAGCAAGGTGGCAGGTGTAAGGCATGCAGCCAGTGCACCATGTGAGCCAGTGCCACTGCAGGGGGAGGGGGCAGGAGTGGCTGTGGTGGGAGGGGGCAGAAGATGCCAGGGGAGCTGCACGCCAGTGTTGGGTCTGGACAGTCCATGTGGCCCCCCTGCCCCAGCCGGACAGCCCTGAGCTGCTGGTTCCCTGGTAGTACCCACAGCAGTGTGACCCAGAAGGGCCCTTCCACACTAGTTAAAGGGCCCCAAAGGCATCCCACAGCCTTCTCCAAGTGCCCCTTCCCGACGCAGTGCACCAGGTGCAGAACTAAGCCCCTTGTAGGGCCAGAAGGGCAGCGGGCAAGAGGGAGCCCAGCTCTGCTCAGTGTGGCTGAGAACAGCTCAGTCCTGCAGAGGGCAGGCACTTCTGGAGGGCAGCAGAGTGCTGGCACAGCACCGGGACGTGGAGCCCAGCCCTGGCCAGGCCATGGCAAAAACCCCCAATTGGAAAGCTGTTCAGCAGGTGCTCGTGCTCGTGCTCCATAGCACTTAGGCCTCTTGTTTGATCAGTCCATTGTTCCCCCTCCCCCACCCCACCCCACAGGTCACTGACTCGAGGAGTCCCCCTGCTGGCACTTCTGGGCGCACCGCTGACACTTCCAGGTGAGTGCAGTCAGCCATGCAGGGACCACTTCTCCTGGCTCCCCCACTCCCCAGCCAGTGCTCTCAGGGGGGCACCAACGCTCTTGCCTGCCCGGGAACGCTGGCTGTCAGGAGGTGCATATGCACACCTGTGCACCCCCAATGCATCGCCACTGATTAGCACGGTTTTTTATCCAGCATGCTACTGCGCAGTTAGTGTCTCGTGTTAGTAATTAAGGTGAGGGAAATGAGGAGTCAGTCTATAGTCAGTTCCTACAGCTTGTATCACAGCTGAAAGGTAGAAGATGGCCCAGGCTTGGCTGATTTTTCAGGTCAAAATGGTGTCTTAACACATCCTCTGTCATTTCCCTCAGTTGGTGGAAACTGTCCACAGTGCCACTGAAATCAGTGGCAAGACCAGCTGAGGATCTGGTTTAAAGACCAGATACCAATAAACTTCTGTACAGCCTCCTTTAAGGCTCCATTCTGCTTGCGCACACGTGCTCCTCAGTGGTACCTACCGTAAATGAGAGGACGGCTCTGAGGAGCTCAGTTAAAGTACCAAACACTTACGGACACAAAATATGTTATTTATTGTGAATTTTGCAAAGACGCAAAGCAACAAAATATACATTTGTGGACCTTGAGAATTATTTTTATACATAACAAATACAATATGCTACTATAGCAATAAATTAAATGTACAGTATTTACAACAAACATAGGCAACCAGAAATTCTACAAAGCATCGCCTCTCTACAAAAAAAATATCTTTTTTTGTCAGATACAATCATTTAAGATTTGCTTTTCACACTATAAACTCTCTTCACATACTAATATAAATTCAGCATTTTTCCTTTGCAGAACTTACACAGGGCTACATTCATGGGGGGGAGGGAGATAATGAAAGCATGCTTCAAGACTTGGAGGGCAGGGGGGAAAGAAATCTTTACCATTTGAAATGGAACGGAAGTTCAAACTTAAGCAAAGCCACAGGAATTCAAGGACTGGACCACAGAGGGCCTGGGAACTCATTTTAATAGATGCCAAACACTTCCCAGAGTTAGCCCCAAAGGTAGCTAGGAGATTTTATTTTAGGCCAGAACCTCAGTTGCTGCGAATATGTCCATACCTCAGCTAGTTGCTCTGACCCTGTCTGCCCAGGACAACCCAGAGCCCACTTCAAGGTTGTGCTTAAGTGTAACGTGTGCTTAGCTTGCACTGATTCCAGCCAGGTGCACGCATGTGCTGGAGCGCTCTCCCGAACAAGGGCCAGCATGTTGTAGGGTCTATACACAGGTACAAACGCATCCTCTCCAAGACCACAGTACCTTGAGAGGCGAAACAGTTCGTTCCATTCTGCAATGCGGGACCTTGCTGTATGATCAAGGTGGGATTTTCAGGAAACAGCCCCATGGCTCAGGCGAGTCCCTGGCTTTCAACATGGCGGGTTTGAAAACCCAGCTCTTGTTCTCTAACTGGGTTGTGTCCCCAGGATATTTCAGCAGAAGCTCCACTGCAGAATCAAAAGGCAAACTGCTACTTCATAGAGCTGAAACGCTTGATGAACATTTTGAAACTGAGGGTCAGGCCTTCAGTGAAGTCAGTACAGCTACACGGATTTATACCCACTAAGGAGCTAGCCTTGAATGTCTCATTAGTAAATAAATATACAGTGTTTGCATTTCCGTAGTACCCATATTAGTGCAAGAATGTAAGACGCCAGAACACTGTCCTCATATCTACAATTGGAGTCCATCCCATGATTTATTTCCCGTTGACCATCTAAAGAAAAGGATGATAAAAAGATTGTGTTTTGCTTTAAAGTGAATCCCCTTTGTCTCTCAAACCAGAAAAATGCACTGCCCACGAATTTAGTGTCTAGTGAGGGTCCCCCTCCGTATGGGCTTCAATAGTTTTTCTCGTCCCAAAAAGGACCCAAAACACTTGGCAATATATATATATATATACACACAAGGAACTTCTTCATCGTTATTTGAAGTGCAAATGCTTCAGAGGTGTAAAGTAGCGACTGCTGGACACACGCTGCACTGCTACAAGTCAGTTTAGGCCTGGAAGTGAAGAATACTGCACCCACTTTGAAATGTCAAAGGAACAGAAGCAGGCTGGGATTTGACGGGGGGGGCAGCATTAAAATCCCTACTCTCGTCAAACGTTACACAGGATCTTTAATGAGTACTTGAGAGCTTTGGAAAATGCTGTCCAAAGATCATCTCAGCTGAAGTTGTGCAGGACTGGCCTTGCAAATATGAGTCAAACTCCCTGCATTTCCTTTGCTCAGCTTTGGACCCTCCCCTTTGCCTTCAGTCGCATTCAGCCACAAGCTTCTGGACCTCCCCAAGTCAAGAGGAAAACAAGCTCCTTTTCGACACTGCGCCTTATGCGTCAAGATCTCACAGAGATCAACACTTAACGCTAATGATGAATCCAGCAGCTCAGTGAAACGACAGGAAAAAAAAACAGCCCTCAAAGCCAAAGTAAAATAATAATAATGCTACCAATCACCATTTCACAAGGGAATTGATCAAAAAGCTTTTCTGGGGAAAGGGAGGAAAAACATGCAAAAATGCTGCCAAAGCACATTTCAATATAAGCTCAAACATTTCCATGTTTGCAACCTGAGACATCAATAGACTGCTGCAAAACTGGATTTAAAGGGGGGGGGGGTGCTTATTTCCCTTATCAAAACCAAAGGCTTGGTTTAAATGTTACTCAAATCCGGGGCAATTAAAGGGGGGCAGGGTTTGAGTCAGTCCTGTTTCTCATCATGATGATCTGGTTCAGGGTTCTGTGTAGCTCAGTAGGTGCACACAGGCAGAGCCCCTGAAGCACTCTCCCTGCTTCATGCCCCATGGCAGGGGTGGACAAAATGGGGCCGGGGGCTGGATACAGCCCACCAGGCCATTCTGTCCGGCCTGCAGGGCCCCTAAAAAATTCAGAATATTAATATTTGCCCCTGGCTGCCAATCATGTAGCCCTTGATGGCTTGCCAAAACTCAGTAAGCAGCCCTCCACCCAAAATAATTGCCCAGCCCCTGCCCCACGGTTTCAAATGATTGTGATGGGAAGAGCGCACAATTTTCATTCTTGGGCCTATTTTAAAGTTCTCCATTTTTTTTCCCCTTAACCTCCAAATTTAGTACCATCTGTGCGCCAGCTGTTCAACTTTGGCCCTGAACTCCAAATACTTTCCAGTGGCAAGAGACCAACTTCATCCCTTGAAACACTTTTTTTAGGGCAATATCTGGATTCCCTTAAGAAACAAAATTTTCTGTTGCATCTGAGATGAAAAACAGAGAAGCTTGTTTTTAAGAGGAAAAGCAACTAGCTTTGGACCAGCCCCATGCTGGACATAAGGAATAAAGAATAACAAAAAGTAACAAGAACCTGGCAGAGGTATTTAAGAGTCAGTGGTATCTAAACCAAACAGTCACTTGAGCAGAAAACCAGAAAACGAAGTTACAGTTGCAAGATACCTGTCTCTATGCAGAGACCACAAAGGGCAAGAGCTTGGCCAGGACTTCAGTATGAATTTTGCAGTATTAGTAAAGGTGCTTTTGGAAAGAAATAATTTACCAGCCTCTTGCCATCTGGCAGAGGACGTAAATGCAGCCCTCTTCCCCATTTTCTGGCAGGACAATGGTCAGCTTCCAGGCAAGTCAACTTCTGATCGTTAACCCTAGTCCTTCATGTGCAAGTAAATACAAGCAGGGGTGGACTCTCCGAAGGTGTAAAGGAATCAGCACAGCTCCA